GGAGGCCGCTCGGCCTAGGAAGTCACCGCCCAGGAGGCCGGTAGGCTGCTATATCTCCAGGAAGAGCAAAGAGCTCTTCCTCATTTGCGGTGTGCAAGGATTGGCGACATGCTGCTGGAGCGCAGCGCTGGACTGGTGCAGTGCTGCTTGGAGGTGAAGGGCCGCCGAAGCTCAGCCTGGCTATGGCGAGCAGTCCAGCTTGAGGAGGAGGAAGAAGGGGGCATAGTAGGAGAGTGGCAGGGCACTTACCTGGCTATGGTAGACACCATCTTCATCACCTTGTTGGGCACTGCATCTGGAAGGCCCCAGTTGGGGTAGTGCGGCACCAGGGAAGCTCGAGGCAGAGTCAGGCATGGCGGACCAGGCAGCAGCGGCATAGCTGCTTTGGGTTGTCCTTTGGACATCAGCGCAGCACCATAGCTGCTTTGGGTTGTCCTTTGGACGTCAGGGCAAGGCCCTCATTAGTCCGCCATAGCCTATGCATGAGAGAGGAGGCTGAAGGAGGGAAGCCATAGCTATGGTGGACTGGTTTTTGTTGTTGTTGTTGTTGAGTTGAGTCAACAGTAAGAGGGAACTTCGGACATTGATTCTGGTTCATCCATTCATTGTTATTATTATTAATGAGAGAAGAATAAGATTGGTGAAGAGAAGGAGGAAGAGGAAGGTGGAGAGAGAAGGGGGAATTGTCATTGGTCTTGCTGGTGCACATCTTCTTCTTCTTCTTCTTCTTTACCTCTCCTCTGGTCTCTATCACTTTGCAAGTGCTTTCATTTCTTTTGCAATTGGGTGGCATTGTCTTTCATTGTGAATTTGCACTTGGGAAATGACCAGGATGGAATGGGCAGTCCATCTCCAATACGTCAAGATCTGGTTCTCGTCAGATGGCAGGCATGCAGTCCAGTTCGCCACCTCCACACACTAGGGAAGCCATTGAATTCCAACAAGTGGAGTTGATTCGTTTACGGTGGCCAAACAAGGAACTTAAAAAAGTTTTTGACAAGGAGGATGTGATTAGAACTAGGAAAGCTAAATTAGAGAATAGGAAGTCGGTCAAAGTTGTTGTAGGAGGGTTAGATGACACTTTCATTGATGACAACATGCGGATCCTCAAGGCAGGTCTCTTGTCTGTGCATGCATACATGTGCAACAAAATGGATGTTATCCAGGACACCCTTGACCAGATACTGAGCACCTTGCAGGGAATGGGAAAAGCTTTCCCATCTCCAATAGGTGGACCCAGTTTCCGGCCTCCGGTTTTCCCATCGCCGGTCTCCTCACCGGTGATGACTGGTCTTACTATGTCTAAGATTAGCAGTTCACCACGCGGTACTTCAGCAGCAGCAGCACAGACTGTTGCTTCTTCATCTTCCGGAGCAGCGGCTGCACACAACAACCGGTCCTACCAACGAGACAGCAGCCTTGGTACCCCAAGACTCCACTGAAGCCACCCTCGACTTTCTCAGGTGATGAGAAGGATGAGGCTCTTGACATGTGGTTGAGAACGGTCCCAGTGTGGGTCAGGGCGAAGAGGACGCTGGTAGAGGAAGAGGTGATCRYTGYCGCATCCTATMTGGAAGGTTCGACARYGCAATGGTTAGATGGATTAGTGSCTTCAAAGGGATTCGGGAGAAACACGAGTGATTGGGCGAAGACCCATACTTAAACCACCAGTTCACCCATACCTGTTTTGAATATCCCAAAAATCAATTTGCCGAGCCTGAAAGTGCGCGGGTACTGGCCTCTTTGTGCTGGACCTGCTGCAAGCTGATGGATTGAGAAGCAGGCCGTGGGTAGGTTTTTGTTTTCAATTTTGTATCTCGTTTTTTTATTTTTACTCCGTTTTCACTCATGTGTCATGCCAGTCAGGCTAGGATGAATTGCATGGGCTGAAAAAAAAAAAAAAAAAAAGAGTGAGAAAAAAAGAGATTTTAACAAATCAGTGGATGAAAAAACATTAAAAAAGTCCGTGGTAGGGGGAGGGTGCAATTGCAGTCAGATGCATTCTGGAAAGTGGTAGTGTGAGTATGCCCTAAGGGCCTTGCTCCACTACTCTGCAAATGTGCAAAACGAGAGTGAATCTTCCATTAGAAGATGGAAAGATACACAACCATGATTTTTGTCGTTTCTGCATGTTGAGAGTAGTGGAGGAATTCCCTAAATACGGTCGGTTCCACAACGATACACTGTAAGTTTTTGGAGTTTGTGGCCACATTCAGAGGCTCAGTGCTTCTCAAAATCAAACCAAAAAAAGGAAAAACGAAGTTGACGTTTCCTCCCGCCTATCACGGCAGGAGGGCGCCTTACATCATTGAGAGGACGTTTTGTCCCCGTCAATCGCGGGCTTAGGGCACTACCCACACTCAGGGCATACTCACACCACAACTTTCTTACGTATTTTTGGACGGAATTGCAACCAGATACATCGAGGTATGGCCGTGAACGCCGTCAGATACATTTGAGATACTGCTAGTGTGAGTACGCCCTCAAATCCTTTTTTTTCTTGTCTTTTTGTCTTTTCTTTTGCCCGGACTTTGTTTTTCTGGGTCTGCCCTATGTTTTTTGGTTCTTTATTTCCTCACAATCCTTTTCCTCCCCCCAAGTGGCGGGCCTCATAAGTTTCTTTTTTCTTTTAGCTCTTTTTATTTCTTTTCTTTTTTTGTCCCTTTTTCAAAGCTTGGCACTTCGGCTTTCATTGTCTGCCGTGTTTGGTGTTTTCACATCTGGTGTCCGCCCATCCATTGCACCACCAGATTAGAGGCCCCAAAGCTCTATCGGACCTCTGCCGAAACGCGTAGGCCCGGGTGCAGTTCACTGCAATAGCAGGGACAGGCAGGGGCATGAACTGGTGGTTGAGAGTCTTATGGATTTGGTAGAAGCGTGTTGGCACAACCCATAGCAGGCCTAGCAGGCCACGGATGCATTGACCCAACTTGATACGAAAGAGTACAAGAACGTGCGCGAACTTACCTCTACCGTAGAACGTCTCATTGTGGTCCCAAGAGTACGGTATGATCCGCAGGTCTTATTGACCATGTTCTTGAGATGTCTTCCCACAGACGTCCGGGACTTACTAGCCAGCGAGGCTCGCCTCGATTACCACATGTTTGAGACCTTTAGCAGAAAGGCCCTAGACTTAGAGGCCACGCGAGGAGGTGCGCAACAACCCTCTACCGATGGAAAAAAGAAGAAAAGTCCACAAGAGTGGAAGAAAAAATGTAGTCGATTGATGATGTTTGATTCCGATGTGAATCAAATCGAAATCGATGATGTTTCTGATCTTGTGGACGGTTCAGAGTTGGTGGGCGAGGAGTTAGCTGAGGGTAGCAACCTCGCCTCCTTGGTAAGGGTTAAGGTAGGTGGCCACGGCAAGGGCGGTCAACCAAAGAGTCAAGGGAAGACCCAAAACCCCAACAAGACACTGGCTTGGTGCGGGCGGGCCTGGATCAAGATATGTGGCGTGACCGATATTTGTGAGGTGCTTGTGTCAACTGTGATGAGTACGATCACCAGCAGTTTAGGTGCAAGAACGCAAAGGTAACACAAAAGATCGGTCCCAAATGTGACTTTGGAGGATCGCTCTCCCAAAGTGGAACCTTTGTGAGAGCTGTTCGGGAAACACATCGGGCCAGTTGAACTTATAGCTGCTTCTACTCCTGATGGAGTGGGCGATGTACCCTCCCCACTTCAAGAGTTGGCCGAAGCTATCGATTCTCTAGTCACCCCGCAGACACATCCTGACCCAATGATACTTCGTTCGTTGGATGTGTCTGAAGCCTTAGAGGACTTGCAAAGTGAGTGGTCGGCAAGGGACCCTCGTGAGTCTTGGGTGGCACTTAGTAGAGGTCCTAAAGGCGAGCACTTCATTGTGGAAGTTGGTGTAGGTGGCCGCAAATGTGGTGCCTTCGTAGACATCAGCTCCACGCGAAACTTCATAAGTTGCGGCTTCGATGAGAGATTGCGCCTAGGGGACCGGGTGCAGCACCTTAGTTGACTTGTAGCATCTACTTTGGCCAACGAAGAGCATATGTTAGTTTAAGACTATGTCAAGGACGTAGTCTGCACCTTCTATTATGGAGGTGGGGAACTTAATTATAGGATTTCGTTCGTAGTCAGTGACGACTTACCATTTGACATGTTGTTGGGTATGTACTACCTCGGAGTTGCCAAGCCCCAGTTTGACTAGGACCGACAAGTGCTTAAGCACGTACTACCGGAAGGGAGGACAATCAAACTTGCCAAGTACAAAGTTAGCAGTCTGATAGACACTTACGGATGTATATGTGCATCAACCTTTTATAACTATTATAAACAGAACCAAGAGGAGGGTATGTACTTAGTCTTTGTCTCTGAGAAAGGGGAGGTCGTTAACCCCCCCCCCCCGAGATAGAAAGTTTCGTTGCAAAATACCCTGATCTATTTGAAGAGCCTTCAGGAGTCGTAGACAGGGAGGTTGTCCATGCCATAGAGATCATCCCAAGGAGCAAGATACCCAAAGGGAGAATCTATAGGATGGCTCCGTCCAAGTTGGGCGATCTTCCTCGACAACTGAAAAAGCTCACAGAGAAGCGATGGATACGACCTAGTACCTCCCCTTTTGGCTCACCAGTCCTATTTATCCCGAAGAAGGTGGGCCAATGAGGATGCACATTGATTATAGATGCCTCGATGCCATCACTGTGAAGAACGCAGAGCCTCTACCACGCATCGATGATCTGTTGGATAGGGTCCAGAGATGTAAGTACTTCACTAAGATAGATTTGAAGTCTGACTACCATCAAATTGCCATTAGACCTGAGGAGTAACACAAAACCTCGTTTCAGACCCGGTACGGTCTGTACGAGTTTGTGGTGATGCCCTTTGGCCTTTGCAATGCGTCGAGAACATTCCAACACGCCATGAACAAGATATTCCATTACTACTTAGATAAGTTTATCGCCGTGTACCTCAACGACATTCTTATCTTTAGTAAAACAGTTGAGGAGCATGCTCAACATTTAGAGACTGTTCTTTCACTCCTACGACAGCACAAGTATAAGATTAACTCAGAGAAATGCGAGTTCCATCGCACTAAAATCTTGTACTTGGGTCATGAGATATCCGCGGATGGAATCAGGGCTGAAGATGCCCCAATAGCTAGCATTCGCGACTGGCCACGACCTCTATCTATGACCGAGGTCAGGTCTTTCTTAGGGATGTGTGGGTACTACCGCAACTTTGTTAAGAACTATAGCACGATGGCCAACCCTTTGACTGACCTAACTCGTCTTGACACACCATGGGAATGGAATGACGAGTGTGAAGTTGCTTTCAAGCGATTGAAGCATGCTCTCACGCACCACAAGGTTCTCATTGTTCCCGATCCTCAAAGGCCATTTGTAGTGACCATTGATGCAAGCCAATATGACATTAGTGTCGTGCTGGCTCAACAAGATGGGAATAAGTTGAGGCCAATCGAGTGCATGAGCAAAAAGATGCCTTCTAAAAAGTTAGTGAAGTCCACCTACGAAAGGGAACTCTATGCCCTTTACAAGGCACTTGTCCATTGGAGACACTATCTGTTGAGAAGGTTCTTCTATCTGAGAAGTGACCATCAAACCCTCAAGTGGATCAAGACACAACTTGTTCTCTCTAATGCACTCAAACGATCGATTCAGGTCATAGACCAGTATGACTTCAAGCTAGACTATGAGAAGGGAGAGTATAACAAGGTTGCTGATGCGCTGTCACGTAGGGAAGATTACCTGGGTGCGCTAATTACTGAGTGTGGCATATCTGATAATGTAACTCAATTGTTGGTGGAAGCCTACAAGGAAGACCCTGTCACAATGGACATCATCTGCAAACTTGAGACCCAAGACAAGGCCACATCTGATAAGTTTGTGGTGTTGGATGGGTTACTCTTTCTTGAAAAGGCCGGGTTCAAAAGATTAGTAGTTCCATCTAGGGAGATTTTGCGTAGTTTATTTTTAGGTGAGTGTCACGACACAACAGGACATTTTGGCTATAAAAAGACTAGTGCTAACTTAGTACAACGACTTTGGTGGTCTAACATGGTAGACGATGCAAAGAAGTATATACTAATTGCCAGGTCTGTCAGAGGGACAAGCCGTGAACTCAAGCTCCGCTTGGGTTGTTAACGCCTCCACCCATTCTTGCTGGTCCGGGACAAAGTATTTCCATGGACCTCATGGATACCCTCGTGACCAGCAAGAGTGGCAAGAGGCATATCTTCGTCATAGTTGATAGGTTCACTAAGTACGCTAGACTCGTTGCCATGCCGGAGACAGTCAGGACTGAGCACGTCATCAAATTATTCATGGATAACTGGGTGCGTGACTTTGGACTGCCGAGGACTATCGTTAGTGATAGAGATGTTCGCTTCATCAGTAAGATGTGGAAGAAGGCTGCAGAACAGATGGGCAGCCAACTCCATATGACTTCAGGGAATCATCCTGAAGCCAATGGGCAGGCTGGACAAATGAACCGAGTGGTGCAGCATCTGCTGAGGCACTATATAAAGCCCAACCAAGACGACAGGGATGAGAAGTTGCCTCTCATTGCCACAACACCACCGGTGTCACTCCTAATCAGTTGCACTTGGGGTGGAAGCCTAGATCTGCTCTAGACTTTCTCCTGCCTGAGAACCATCTTGCTGCAACTCCTGAAACCATTGAATTTGGTGTCCAGTATGAGAAGTTGCCGCAGTAGGTGATTGAACATA